AAAAAGGGACACTTAGGCCCAGTTAGTTTTAATTTCTTTTGACTGTATATCTACGTTTCTAAATATTACAAAACAAATTATTACCGTGATAATTGATTCTTTAGCAGGGAGACCTGCTTTTGATAAACAGCTTTGTGCAAGGCCTGATGTGAGGAGGAAGAATTCTTCTTTTAACACCTTTGACTTTGCATGCAATATGGCACACTGGTTTGGAAGTCTCTAGATCTGGGTCTGAGTGGTGCCATTCACTCCTCACTAACCTTGAGCTCCTTGGGGCCCCCTGATAAGTACCTGCTCATGGGTGCCACAACGATGCAATCACTCACACCTGATGCACAGTAAAGCACTCCACAACAAAGGCCACTGTCATTATCTCAATTCAAATTCAGGGACATTACATGCAAGTACGCTTACCTGGTCATGATGTTCAAGATCATTTTCTAGGCGAATCCAAAGATCTTGGGTATGAAGAGGCCTTGCTGGTGCCTGATTCCGACCTCTTATCTGGGCAGGAATCCCTTTTTGAGCTCCCTTGTGTGCTGACAGGGCAGCGATGCACATGGCTAAGACCCTGTCTTTTAGGACATCTTTCCTTGTTAAGACAGAAATCTGAAAACAGTTCCCTGTAACTTGTGCCCACGTATCTGAGCTCTGGCCTCTGCAGCAACACAGGCAAGGCCAGGGTTTCACAATCCTCATAGTAATGAAGATGCTGTCAGGGTCCCATCCACCCTAAAGCCTCTCTTTCCAGGACTGCACAGGTGATTTGTAACAGGAAACAGATTTGGCCTTCATTCCTGCTCCTAGCTCACAGCTCCCCAAACCTTTGGGGTTAAGCGTTAAGAGTAATGGGAGCATCTTTGTTGTAATACTTGGGTCTTTTGTCCCAGGTTCCATTCAACACAGCTCATTCAACCATATCTGAATTTATGTTAATGAGGTGATTTATGGAGAGCCCCTGGGGAACAAAGTGTGGGGGACAGTTGCCAAGGGGAAGAAGCCATGTAATCAGAAAGTTGGCACTTTCAGGGGCGTCTGGGTGTCTCAGTCAGCTGAGTGTCCAACTCTTGGTTTCAGCTCAGATCACGATCTCATGGGTTGTGAGATCAAGCCCAGTGTCCAGCTCCATGCTCAGTGGGGAGTCTGCCTCCCTCACGCCATACACACGCTCTCTCTAAAATAAATAAATATATCTTAACAACAACAACAACAACAACAACAACAACAACAACAAGAAGGATGGAATTTTCAGCCTCTTCTATCCCTGACTTCTGGGAGGGAAGAAGGGCTGGAGATTGGCCTTATCACCAACAGCCAATTATTTAATCAAGCCCACATAATAAAACCTCTATAAAAATCCCAAGTAGGAGTTTGGAGAGCTTCTGGTTTTTGTTCTAAGATTTTAAGTAACCTACACCCAATGGGGGGCTGGAATTTACAACCCTGAGATTACTAGTTGCATGCTCTTCCAGCAGGGCAGGGCCTGCCAGGCTCCCCAATTCTGGTTTAATTAACACATATAGGTGCTAGGAGGGTGGCATGCCCAAAGAGGACATGGAAGCTCCAGACTCCTGCCTCCATGTCCTGCCCTGTGTCTCTTCCAGCGAACTGTTCATTTGTATCCACTGTAATGAATCAACAATAGTAAGTAAATTTTTCTTCTGAATTCTGTGAGCCTCTTTAGCAACTATGGAATCTGAGAAAGGAGTCATGGAAACCATGGACTTAGAGCCAGCTGGTCAGAAGCACAGGTGGCAAGCTGGATTTGTGCCTAGAGCCCAAAGTGGGGGTGGGGGTACCTGTGTGGTCTGCACCAACTGCAGGTAGACAGGGTCAGGCCACCCAGTTGGTGTCACAGCCCTGCTGCGCCTGGGGTAGACCCTGAATAACTAGTGTCAGAGGGAGGTATGGAGCACAGAGGACTGAGTGGGCAGCAGAGGAGGAGGGGGTTTTTCCTCCATGAGCATGAACTGACTGTCCCAGGGGCTTCAGTCATTCCTCATGCTTCATGCTCTCCAAACAAGTCATGAAAACAACCTTACTATGCTGCACGTGCAGTGTGGCTTCCTGGGGAGACTGTTCCTGACACTGCTAGGATTCCGCACACTTCTGAAAGAGCCTCAGTACTTTATATCCAGACTTGATTTTATCCAAAAATGGTATTATCCCAGTTTGAATATCACGTTTGCCTTCCAGTGACCCTGAAATGGTTCTAAAAATCAAATCTACCTTGAAACAATGAGTTGCTGTGCCTGAGGGCGTTCATAAGCATGCACTGGAAGTTCTTAAGGTAATAAAAAAAAAACCCACTACAACACTGTTTTGTTGACTTTTACAACTATCTCAGTGGAGAAGCCTTTCTAATTATGACACAAAACCTGGAAGTCATTGTAATAAAGTTGTATAAAAATATAAATACATAAAAATGGTAAAACTGTGCATTGAAGAAACACCATATAGTAAAAAAGTAATAACAAAATGAGGAAAAATTTGCAACACTTCTATCAGAATGGTTAATTTCCTTAATGTACAAAAATCTAAAACTAGTAAGAGAATGACCACAGTGTCTCAGAAAAATTGGTAGGGATAAGGACAGATGTTTCATTGAAAAGGAAATGCTCTTGGACATACAAACAAGATGAATTATGGGTGGCTCAGTCAGTTAAACATCTGCCTTCAGTTCAGGTCATGATCCCAGGGTGCTGGGATCCCACATCAGGCTCCTTGTGCAGTGGGGAGCCTGCTTCTCCCTCTGCCTGCCCTTCTCTCTCTCTCTGCCCGCTTCTCTCTGACAAATAAGCAAAATCTTAGAAAAAATGAATTAGGTCAGTGTTTTCTACCCTCCAGTAAGGTAGAGTTAACAGTGTTGGCTGTAGATTTATTGGTGAGGAGGGCTCAGGAAGCTGGCACAGAAGCTGCCAGTGGAACTAAAGGGAAAACTGACAACACAGCCATAATTTAAAACACTTCAGCCCTTGGATCTGGCACTGTCAGAAGGGCTCATGCACAGGGATGTGGGACTGGAAACCACCTGATGCCATGGGGTCTTGTTAGCCAGATGTAGGACTGCCACTAACCACTGCCAAGACAGAGGCAACTCAGCGTGCACTGATAATGCAGCTGTTCTGAGAACAGGAAGGTGCAGGACATGTGGGCAGGAGGTAGTGTGTGCGGTGTGCCAGGAAGATCTGAGCACACAGATGCACATGTTTTCTGTGAGGTGGGGCACAGCAGAGGTGATGACATCCTTACCGTACCCCTAGTTTGCATGCTTTAAATGTTTGGATATGCGTTATATAGCTACTTTAAAAAAAAAAACAAGAGCCTACCTTATAATCACAAAAGACAGAGCAAAATGACTTGCATACTTTGCTGGGCCTAAAAATATTCCAGGACTTATATGGTGATCTTTTGGGAGACTTCCAGTTGTTTCAATTTTTTCAGATGTGAGATCACTAACCTAGAAATGGACCAAATAAATTTTCACTTTTACCTTCATGCATATTTGATTCCTGGCCTCTGGAGTTCTTTAAATATTTAAAACTGTTAGATATTATGGAAGGAAAAGGCTGGGGAGACCCAGGCAGGGGTGATGAGGTGCTGGAGGCTGGATTTTCCTGCCCTTGTCAAGGGAAGGATTTGTAGCCCAAAGGTGGCTTTTTATTTAGGGGAAGCACCTTTCCTGCTTTGTTTTCTTCTGCTCCTGTCACATGTACACCTCTGGACCTCTGCCCCAGGGTTTAAGTTTTGGGGAAACCACTGGGCAGAGGGTGGTTACCCTTATTTTTTCAGTGGTTTTTGTCCAGGGTAGGGGGGTATTTCTCTCCAGTCTTCTGGAACTGGGGCAGTGATGATCAGACCACCAGATTAGGACCCTCAGAAAAGGGGAGAACTGCTCCCCTGGCACGTCCCGTGGGCACAGCACTTCCTCAACATCAAAGAAGGTTTTAGGCTTGGACTCCTCCCTGCCTCTGCCTGTGGGAACTGGGAACAAAGGGCTTTTAGAGGTGAGGAGTTAAACCAATCTTCTGCAGCATTCTGCAGAACCCTTTTCCCAACGAGCCTCCACTCGTGGGCTCATTTGGCAGTCATGTCCATCATGGTCCTGCTGTGGCCCTGGGTGGTCAAGGGGCCAGACCCTGTGCTCCTGCCCAGTCTTTTCCTGGGATGCGACACATTTCCAGCTGTCCCAGATTAGAGCCAGGTTCACATTGAACACACCATGTAGCAGGTGCTGCAGGTCGCAGGCCTAGGGAGGAGGGGAACTCTGTTGGGAAGACAAGCAGCTCCCCTGGAACAGCCTGGGCCTCCACAGAGCCTGCCACCACGGGGACACAGGAGTGCCTGAGAGTGGCCGCCATGTGTCTTGTGGTCGTCTCCTCAAAAGGCACACTGAGGAGACCTAATGTGCCACCTGTCACCCAGCCTGGGCAATTCTTTGTTCCAGCTACAGTAAACAGGGACCTCAGGGGCCTTCCCACCAGTGCTGGGGTAGATGAACACTGCCGACACTCACTGAGAGGAGTCGCCAGGCCAGAAACCCTTGTAAACCCTTTATTTTGAGTGAAACACATAATGTTTAGCTTATTCCACATACCATACATGTACCACAGGAACAACTGTGATCCAGGGGACCAGATCTCACAGATCTTGCACCCCAATGTACAGTCTGGGCCAGTGCCCTGTGGAGCTCCCAGTGTCCTGTGGATGGGCCTGGCCCCACACCCCACCACAGCCAGAAGGCAGTTCCAGGGACAGCAGCTCCAGGGACTGCAGCCTGCCTGACCCACAGGGGACTGGTATGTGTCTTCAACACTGCTCAGCTGCAAATGGCTCACGGTAGCGATACATCCACTGGGGCTCAGAACACAACTGCTACACAAACACTCAGCACCACACGATGGAGACATCACTCACACAGCACAGCCATAGATATTGCAAGCAGTTCACACTCACAATCAGACCTCCTCTGTAGGGCTGGGGCACAGCCCCTCTTCCCCCAGCCCCTCTTCCCATTCACAGGGCCAACTCTTATCAGCTCCAAGCCATCCAAGAACCTGAAAAAACAGACCTCTGGATGACCTCACACATCTACATCCAAGGAGGAGGCAAACACATTCAAGTCTGACAGAACCCCTGTCCCAGAGGGCATGGTGGTTGCCACCCAGCCCTCCCTGAGAGCAGCCAGGGAGCCTGTACAATCTCCCCACCGAGTCTCTAGGGAGAAGATGAAGGTCTGTCCTGGGCATGGGGGGAGGGACCAGACAGGGGCAGGGAGATAAAACAAGACTCTTATCACAGAAACACGTTACAACCACTCCATCCTGCAGAGAGGGACAGGTCGGGGATGGTGTGGCTGCATCACCCTGGCCTTGTCATGTGTCCTTTGCCCTATCTGGTTCACTGTCCACCTGGAGCCAAGGCAAGAGACACTGGGCCTGGGTCACACTACAGCCCTCTGCCCATCCAGGGGCAACTCTGCAAGGCCAAAGGGAGAGTAGCAGGTTCTTCCCAACATGTCAAGGGGTTCCACAAAGGTCTATTCTCATGAAGGTCTGTTCTCATGGAGACGGAGCCACTTCTGTGAGGTTGGCCAGGGCGGCTTGGCCGCTATAAGGCTGGACTCTTCTGTCTGCTCAGGGAGTCGATGTAATGAAAAATGGCCCCCAGAGCCCAGCTGGTCTCAACATTGTTGATTTTCCGAGTCAGCTTGAAAACACAAAGGGAGGGGCAGAGTGGGCATGGTTGGGAGGCTGGAAGCAGTACCCCCAGCCCTTATGGCCATAAAGGGCAAAAGGGGTAATCTAGAGACAGTCCTTACCTTCAGCACTTTGTTCTCTGGGAAGCCAAACTCTTGGAGCAGCAGGCTGATGTAGGTGAGGTCCATGCACAGAAAGGGGTTGCCCTGCAGCCGGGTCTCTGCCGTCCGGCACACTGGGGGTGAGAGAGCCCTTTCCCAGATTCCAGGTGGGGGCACGGGGGGCAGGGCTTGGGCAGACTGGCTCTACACACTCCAGGTGCCCACCCTATGCTAGGCTCTGTGCTGGCCCCAGGTCCTCACTGGTTTAGACAAGACTACAGCCTATAGCAAGAAGGTGATTCACCAAGAGTACACCAAAAGGTAGGATATCAAGGCGAACCAGCCTCCACTGGGCCTGGCCTCCAAGACCAAGAAGGACTTGTATGTCTTGTTTTAGCATCAGGAGCTGAAGGCCACAGTCTCACAGGGCAGAGCCCTGCACCTGTGACTCTGGACACTTTTTCCAGGTGTGAATTTGGGCTTTCTGGGGAATGTAAACACAAAAAAAACTGTCTCAGAACATTCTATTCTTATTCTTGAAGCCGATGAACAAACCCACCAACAGATTTCCCAAAATTCCACTCAGAACCTTTTCCTGTTAAAGAGTCATGGATACCAGGTGTCCATGGGATAAACCCATAAGTGATAAGAAAGCTTAAAAAAAAAAGCCACTTGGGGGGAGTGGGGGAGAAAGGACTTTCTATAGAGAAACAAATGAAGTTTAACTCTTTTGATCTGTAATTGGGAACAGCACTGAAGAGCGGAATATTTATAGCCAGCCTTCATTTCATACCCCATCCGGCAGGATTGTGATGGACAAAGGAGAGGAAGGGGTCAGCCACCTGTAAATTCAAGGGGAAGAGCTCTTCACCCCCCATAAGCTGGGTCTACTGTGACAATTGTGAATTTGCTGGACACTTTCAGGGGAGATCCCTGTGACAATCACCTGAGCTACAGTGAAGAGATGTCAGAAAAAGTGAAATCCAGGGAGCCCATTCCTAACAACCCTAGAACTAGAACTATGCACTTTCAGAGTGAAGGACACTGAGGCTCCCCCTCCCTCTGCTGTGGTCACATAGGATGAGGCAGACAGTGGTCTGGGCCCACAGGACAGGGACCCCCCAAGTACCCTCTCATACTTCTGAAAACACGTTAGGCTGGCTCAATCAGGAACCAAACCTGGAACTTCCAGTACTGCCTCACAAGTACCAAGCTGCACCTGCCACATGGTGGGGCAGGGTTCCTGCCTCCCACCCTGGCCCTTCTCAGCTGGCAGGGAAACCGCTACTCACCATACTTGGCCGCGATATCAAAGTCTCCTACGACGAGGCTGCCACCCTTTTCTGCATCTGTTAGACAAGACCAAGCACCTGGTCTGCACCAGCATCTCTGAACCAGAGATGCCACCAAGGCCCTGAGGCTGGCACCCGTGAGAGGATGACATGGGGTGGAGAGTCCAGGCTGGCAAGCAGGGCAGTAGCCCCACATGCACTGGTCAGGTGTCTGAAGTGATGTGGCTGGGGGGTGGGCAACTGTTCCGTGCAAGACCACAAGGGGATGATTAGCAGTCACGGGTCTTCGAGGCTCCCTCACAGGAAGGTCACCAGGAGCCCTGGGCCCAACAGACTGAGAAATCTCTTCATTTTAAGTTAAAAAAACAAAAGCACAGAATCAGAGATGTTTCCATGAGCTGTGGCCGTGAGTTCAGCAATGGTATTCTGGGTATCAATTTTCTGAATGTGGGGAAAAAAGTTCTATAAAAAAAAAAGCCAAGAAGTGGTTTGTCAGGTCTTAGATCAAATGGGCAGAGCCTTTACAGGGCTCTCAAAAGAGAGTGGCCCTAGGCCTTTGTGACATTCCCAGGGAAGTAGGCATGAAAGCTGTGTCCCCCCAAATCTTACAAATGGCAACTGTTTCTTCATTGCACACAAGAACCTCTACATTTGATAGAGGGTTCTCGAGCTGTCCCACACATTTACGTTTTGTATGAGGCAACTTCTCAGTGAGCTGACTTTTCCTTGACTTTGGGCATTTGCTCAGTCAGCAAATAGCATCACTGAAGATGGACTCCATTTCTTAAAACAGACCCAAGCAGCTCTTTCAGAGCAATGTGTGACCACAAAAGGGAGTTGGAAGAGCTTTCTGAACAGCCCAGCGCCTCCTGAGGTCACTCTGGGATAGTGTCAGTCACTTAATGGAAGGGCAATCTAAAGGCAAGGTGAGGGGCCCCAAATTGATGAGGTGATACTGCGGAGGGGTCCTTTTGAGCTAGCCTGAAAGGGTGGAACCCCAATACACTGCAGGCCAGGTTTGCATGTAGTAGACCCTGAGCATTGTGATGTCCATAGCTGGTGGCACAACCAGGAGAGTACAGATCAACGAACTGCTGCTCCAGTTATGGGAAGCCCACAGGGGCCCTCAGGCCCAAGAGACCAAGTAGCTACAGGACCAGCTACTGGGAGGCACCCCAGGGACCTTGCTCTGTGCCAGAGAGACCCGGGCCCAAGCAAGGCATGACAAAGTCACCTTCTACCTGGACTACCCACTCCTGGCTGGATGCGTTGCACACTGGGCCCGAACAGCAGGTGGCTCAGTGAGCCTTGAGATACCACAGGGCCCATAAGCTCCTAAGGGTGGTCTGTGGAGTGGGCTGACCCCTCCCCATGCCAGCCTGGGTGCTATATGGAAAAGATGGCCATGTGACCATGTCACAAAGGGCTCCCTCAGCCAGAAACCTGGGGCCAGGCAGGAACGACTAAGGGTCAGTTACATAGGTAGGTCAGTTCTGCCTTAGAACAGAACAACTTGACAGCAATTAACTGTTCCTGCACTGACAATGTAACTTTACTAAGTGGCTCAAAGACCTGATTTATTTATAAAATGGGAGCTTACTACTTCCTATATGGATGACAAGACACTCCTCTATTTCTGTTACTGTGAGAGTGACTGATAACATGATTACTCTTTGCTGTGGGCTCTCTGTCCAGAGAATCTACACCTCAGCCCTACCCTTACCTATGAGGCCTACATTTGCAGCAAGGTCGTAATAGTAGGAAAAAGCATAAAAATCCACATCCTTCACTTCTTCCGTTCTGTGCACTTTGTTTCGAAGGATTTCCAATACTCTGCTGGCACATAGCTCATGGAGGTTCACCGCTGGGGCGAAAGAAAAGCACAAAGACAATGGTTAGGGGGCTCAGCGCCTGGGCCACACAACCCCCGAGGCCCTTCCCAATGACTTGAGACCTGGACCTGGAGGGTGAAGCGGGACAAGAAGCCTGCATGGCACCTGGGTCTGGGTGCTCATCAACACCACCCATGCCAATAGGAACCTTACAGGAGCCATGGCACTGCAGGCTCAGATCAAGGGAGAGAAACCCAAAGTATGAAGGTCGCTAGAGATAGCATGGCCCTCAAGCCTGGAGGACACCAGCCTCCAGCTGGGCACAGGTAGCTGTCCTGACATTAGCCCAGTGGGTTCAGGTTCACACCGTTTATTTTCCGCTGTCCCTTGCTGAGCTCTAAACATGCAGGGCCTTACTCTGTCCCATCAGTCACTTCGGAGGTGCGGCCTACAACCTCCTTACGTCAAAGATGAGAAAACAGAGGCCTAACAGACAGCTTGTCAATCACATAGCTGAGATCATTGAACCCCTGATTGGAAGAAGGACAACAGAGAGCCCCAGAGGTAAACAGATGTCAGTATCCCACTACCCACCCCTAGAATCAGCTTCCCATCTCCACCAGCAGACCTGCCCAAAGCCTCAAGGCAGCTCCAGCCAGTTCTCCCCATGCCCTTGCCTGCTGGGCCTTATTTCTCTCCACTCTCCCGTATCAGGACAGCCATACAACCTCCCCCTTTCCTTAAACACAGCAGCCACTCCAGGGCCTTTGCACACGCTGTTCCTCTGGTCTGGAAAAGTGCTGCTTTAGATCCATGTGGCCCATTCCCCAGCTCCTCATGTTTTGGCTCAAATACCACCCATGTAGCCTTCCCTGGTCATCATATTTAAAACTGCAATCTTCTCTTCAGCCCTCCTCCCTTTTTTCCTACAAGTTACTTCCTCACGTGTTTTAATAACTCCTCACACTGGAGTATCAGCTGGGTGCCAGGGGCTACTGCAGGACCTGATGCTATCACGTGCATGAGTGGCTGGCTAAGTCAGAGTGAACTCCATGGTCACTAGATAATAAGAAACAAATATCTGGTCTTTGTTCCTGGTTCTGGATACAGAGCTTTCAAAACCCTTGGAATTTCCCTCGTGATGGGGATGAGATGAGCCTCTTCCATTATCCACTATGAACCTCTTTTTCAAGTATACCTGAGTTTATGTGAATGAGTGGACACTTGTTGGTGGGTCCCAGGTGGCTTCAGGATGGATGCTAGCTGTCAGAGGAGCCAACCATGTGATTAGAAGGTTGGAACTTTCAGCCCCACCCCCAAACCTCCAGGGCGGGTAGGGGGTTGGCGATTGAAGTAAACTAGCAGCCAGTGATTTAATTAACATCTGTGTAGTGAAGCTTCCCAGAACCCTAAAGGATGGGTCCCATGAGCCTCCTGGGTAGTGAACACACAGAGGAGCTGGGAAGTAGTGCTCCTAGAGAGCATGTGGAGGTTCCGCACCCCTTCCCCAACACCTTGCTCTATGCATCTCTTCCATTTGGCTGTTCCAGAGTTGTATCTTTTATAATAAAATAGTGATAATAAGTAAAGTGCCTTCCTGAGTTCTGTGAGCTATTTTGGCAAATTATCTGGGGGGGGGTTGTGGGAACCCCCAATTTGTAGTTGGCTGATCAGAAATACAGGAGGCCTAGGACTTGCGATTTGCATTTGAAGTAGAGGTTGCGTAGGGAGAGCCTTGGTGAGACTGAGCCCTTAACCTCTGTGGTCTGCATTAACTCCAGGGAAAGTGGGAATAGAATTATTCATGGATGGAGAATTGGCTGGTTTGGGGAAAACTCACACACATTTGGTGCCAGAAATGTGGGTAGAAATAGCTCTGTCACCAAAGGCAGACAAAATTCTTGCCCAATGTGTCCAGCTTGGAAACAGTATTTGAATGTTTCTATTAGCACCACTAAAGGAGCACAGGGCAACAAAGACCACCCACATGGGGCAAGAGGGGCCAGGCTGGTGGGACAGCACACCTACTGTCACAGGCCGTGGGCTACACAGCTTGGAGCAGCCTCTCCTATGCTCACCAGGCAGTCCGAGGTGATGGGTGATTTTGCTGAAGGAGAAGCTGTTTCTCCCTCAATTCAGAGATGAGCTCATGTTGCCACTGGGCCAATAGCCCCAACTTGACCATTTGTCTTAGAGCGGCAGAATGCTCAGGTCCTTCCTCACTGGAGGCTTGTTAGGAAACGCAGTCTTTTGAAAGAAAGCATGTGGCAACAGAGAAGGGAGCGTTGTGCAGAGAGACCCTTTGCCAGTGGTTCCCAGTGTGTTCTGGCAAGGCCTCCTGCACCCCTGAAGGTTCACAGAGCTACTTCCATTTCTTGGACAAGTATGGGCTTGTCTGTGAATGAGGTCATCTGACAACAGCCTCCCTGGTTCTCAGAGGTATCTGGAAGGTATGGGATAGAGGACAGTCTGTCATTCTTAACCCTTACACACCAATGACAAATGAGAATTCCACCTTACCTGCCTTCTGTCCTGAAATTCTGTATGTTATTTCAGCATGTTCCCACTCTCCTGTGAAACCTGGAGACAGACAAGGGCTGACCAACTCCTTTCCATCCTCAGCTGAAATAAACAGATAAAGAAGAAAGGCACATTACCACAGGAAGACTGGCATGTGGATTCTGCTGGGAGGAGGTCTATATTCTAGTGAAGGGGAGGTTTTTACTTCTCCCTTAACTACCTTAAAGAATTTAAGTAGGGGATCTGGCCCAGAAAGAGAAGTATTACTAGAGATAAATTTTTATCTAAATGACCACTGTGTGGAAAGGCAAACATCTAATGACCAAATATCTGTTCTTCTTTTGTTCTGTGAATCACCCTCCTTCCTTTAAAGCCCCCGGCCCCTAGCCTACTCCTTAGCTCCAGATGACCCACAGCTTCAATTGCCCAACTTGTCCTTGGGTATCATTTTCTTCTGGGGCTCCCATACATATGTAAACTTGCTTTTCTCCTATTAATCTGCCTTATGTCAATTTAATTAATAGACTAGCCAAAAGAACTAGAAGGGCAGGAGAAAAATCTTTCCTCCCCCGTAGTTGGTGAGCTAGCCAGGAGAAACTTCACTGGCCGCATATTGCCTATTCAAGGGCTGTGGCAGCGGGGAGAGCCTGGGACCTCTGACAGGTGCAGCAGAAGGTAAGAATTCTTATTACCACGTCAGGCTCCTGAATCTCTGCCTGCAGGATCTAGCTGAAGCAAGTGGGGAGAATCTTTCCCCCCCAATTTCTAAGTTTAGATTAGCAGGAGAAAATATCTGTGGAACCAGTTCCTTGGGTATAGTAACCAGTAAAGATTTATTATGAGTATTCTTAACGTTTTTTTCATGTGTTTCTTCCTGGAGATGGGAACTGCTTTTTTTTTTTTTTTTTTTTTTTGCTTTTATCTGTTGTGTCATTTGTCAGAATGAAAACCACGAGGTAGGATGCAGGCCTGGGCCCTATAAGCCTGCTGTACAGACTGGGCTCACAGACTGGTAACTTCACAGTTCTCACCAGGCCAGTATAGACAAATGTTGCTGTGGGTCAATGTGCACACAAGGTAAAGGCAGTTACTAACGAAGAGCTTGGAAACCAAAGTTGCAAAACTAGTGGGCATGGGTTGAGAACTTAAAAGCTGTTAGAGCACTCCCAGCCTAACCCAAAGACTCCTGTGTTAGGATGAGTTTTCACACTGCTGGCTAGGTTGATGCTAGGTCACCAGTCAAACTCAAGAAAATTTCCATGCAAGGAACTCTGTAAAATACCTCACAATTTCCAACCCAGCAGCACATCCCTCTTTGGTACAATTTGGCTCTGAGACACCAAAGGTTCAGCTCAAGCTGTTAATGTGCCTATGAGGGGTTTTCCTTTCATCCTGTTCATGTCTTGAGAGCTTGTCCTTATGACCAGTGAGAATGTTCTCTCTGCATGTATCACATGCACCTTGGTGGCCAGTTGAGTAGCCTGGGGTTCTGCAACTTTAAGTCACAAGCAGCACTTTCTGTCAGACTGTGAGAGCTCTCAGGAGAGTTTGTTACAGGGGTCCTGGTCCATAAGGGGTTTCTGCCATCTCATTCTCACTGCTTTTTGTTAGTGCTGGAAAGGTCCCATTCTAGTAGTACCTGCCTGGTGTCACAGATTCACAGGTCTATGAGTAGAGGTGCCTCATGTTCTCACAGGAAACTGGAGACAGTGTTTTCACTACACCATTCTTACTGCCTGTAACAACAAAGGGCTTTACTATCTTGGACTCTTTCTGGGAGTAAACTTTCTGGATCTTATAAGGGCTGCATTTTTTGGTACCGTTTTTTGGGACACCTCTTATATTCATGGTTAAGCCATAAAAAGGCTTATTGGTTTGTGTCACTAGAGAATAATATAAGATCCTGCTTACCAATGGCAATGGCCAGACAATGGATATTTTGAATTGACAATATTTGAGAGAAAGAAAAATACTTTTGAGAGCTCTTGTCCTAAATAATTATCTTATTGGTATCTATGGAAAAACCAAGTTAAAAAAAATAGACACAAAGAGATGTAATAGCTAAGCTTTAGGGACTCACTTAATAAGATGGAGGAGGAGAGAAGAGACATTAGACTTAGAACAAAAATTAAAGTCCCTGTCTAACATAAATTTCCCTTCTTAAAATCTGGCCCTGTCTCCTCAGCAAATTCTAACTCCCAAACTCTCCTACCTTCCCCAGAAAATCCCTTAAATACCCAGCTACTTATTTTAGCCTCCCTTTTCCTATAAGATGTACAGAGAGCATTCTGGCTTGATCTCTAAGCCCAGGGAATACATGTAATTCATGTAAATACTAAAAGCCAGAGAACAAATTTAACAGAAGCACCTAAGGTAGATAATAGATAATAAGCTTTATACAGAAGGCTCATTTTGCAGGGCTCTATAGTCAGGCTCTGCCAGCTTCAAGCCTTCCGTGCAAGGTCCTTTGCAGCTATATCCCAGGCCCCCATCCAAATAATTCATGTCCCCAAGACAAAAGCATATTTTTAAAATTATAAAGCCCTTAATAGCCTTGACTTTTAAGGACCCTACCAAATTAAATTTTAAGTTGAATTAAACTTAATTGATTGATTGATATCCATCACAACCCCACTCATAGGGACCTTGTTTGGCTGCAAAGGGGTGTTCTTCCCACCCATGAGATTATGATTATATTGTAGTTATCAGACAAGCCGGATGGTCCTCTGGAACCAACACCACCTCCCTTGAGGAAACAGATGACTAGCATTTCTCCTTGGTCTTCCTACAAAGGATCAGCTGAAGGCTCATGAGAGGGGTTAATATAGAGGCTTTTCATTCTAAGGTAAAGGTCTAAGGTTGAAATGTGCACTCAGAAAGGAGGCCTTTGTTAAAATGCTTTATATGGACTTTACAAAGGCATACTCCATTAATCCTCGAAAACATCTGCTGTTTGTCCCAACTGAAAAATGACAAGATATTTGAAAGAGCTGTTTAAATAGCTCTGTGGTTGGAGACTGGCCAGACTAGAAGCTGATATTCAGAGCCTGATAAGATTTTTTTAGGTCTCCCCTCCAAGCTAAAATGAAACTATGTACCCAGAAGGAAAGAAAAACCTCCTAAAGCCTCTGTAAAAAGATTTGTTAAAACATTCCAAAGCTCTCTGATACAAAAAAAAATACTGAGGACAATGTGGTTGGATGGGTAGATCAATCTGTGATGCCATTTAGGCTGCAACCCTATTCTTTACAGGAATTGAGAGCAATTGTGCTCATCTTACAAATCTCTGCAAAACTAAATATATAGCTCTAGAGGCAGCTCAAAGTTCACCTGTTCCAATACTCCCCTCGACCACGATTTATCTTAAAAAACCTGTAATATGCATTTTTCCTTGTGCCTCTGAAACATAAAAGTTAAAGTACAAAATTCAGGGAAGTAATTTTTTTTTAATTAACATATAGGGCAGGTAATTCTTTTTATTTTTATTTTTATTTAATTTCTTTTCAGTGTTCCAGAATTCATTGTTTATGTACCACACCCAGTGTTCTATGCACTACATGCCCTCCATAATACCTACCACCAGGCTCACCCAACCTCAAGGAGATAATTCTTACCAGCAGAAAAACAAAAGAGGGAATTATCATTTGGAAGTTGGGCTCATGGGAAATTTTAAGTGTATGGAAGCTGTAAAGGCTCAGTTTGCACGTGTCTGTATGTTTATGTATTCTATACATATGTACTGAAGTTGGGTGTAATCTTCCATGTCAACAAAATCAATTCGTAAAAAAGCTCTACTTAATTGATTTGAAGAAATTAAGTGCCTTATATTAATTGAATTCTCAGGAATATAACAGAAACTAGGGACCTCTGGCAGGTTCACCTGGTAGAGCCTGTAACTCTTTTTTTTTTTTTTTTTTTAAGATTTTATTTATTTATTTGACAGACAGAGATCACAAGTAGGCAGAGCAGCAGGCAGAGAGAGAGGGGGAAGCAGGCTCCCTGCTGAACAGAGAGCCTGATATGGGACTCGATCCCAGGACCTTGGGATCATGACCCAAGCCAAAGGCACAGGCTTTAACCCACTGAGCCACCCAGGCGCCCCAAAAGCCTGTAACTCTTGATCTTGGGTTCATGGGTTCGAGTCCTATGTTGGACGTAGAGTTTACTTAAAAAATAAATAAATAACATAAATAAATAAAAGTAAGATCTTTAAAAAAAGAAAACTAACCCAAATGTTTTTCAAATTCATGTGATCTAGTATTAACCTTTAGTAAATAAAAACTAGTTTAAGTTGGTTGATTAAAAAAGAAATGTCTTCAGAAGTTAATCAGTATGGAATATAATACTTTTATTCTAGCTTGGTTTACTAAAGTAAACTTGGTTTACTATGAGTTCATGCTATCTCTTACAAAAATTTGTCAGCAAAGGCACCTGGGTGGCTCAGTGAGTTAAATCCTCTGCCTTCGGCTTAGGTCATGATCCCAGGGTCCTGGGATCGAGCCCCACATCGGGCTCTCTGCTCAGCAGGGAGCCTGCTCCCCCCCCAACCCCTCCTGCTTCTCTGCTTACTTGTGATCTCTGTCAAATAAATAAATAAAATCTTTAAAAAAAAATTTGTCAGCAAGAAATATAGCTTGGGCTGATGGCTTACTTTGTGTCTCATGAAGCAGTCTAAATAGTTGTTAAGAACAAGTAAATATATATAAGCAGTATAAAAGGTTTTTAGGTGAACTTTTTAGCAATAATTATCTTTTATGGTGTGTGTACTTAAAGATAGTTTCCCCAAATCTTTCAGGTAAGCTGAAGCTTTAAACTTTTGCGAAATGATAAATTAAATTAACTGAATATCCATGCCATTTCTGAATAAAGCACCAAACATAGATTTACATACTTTTAACTGCTGAACAAAGATTTATACAGTATTCCTTTTAGAGAAGAACTAAAAGGTATTTGGGTCATGAGTTAACATACATCTCTAGAAATTATTAAATGTATTCATAAGTTTGCCATTGTAAATAATGCTGGTGTGACAGTTCACTACTGCTTACTTCTTAGTCAAGGTTTCTAAGGGTTAATTCTAATTAATATATGTAACTAAAATT